AGGTTTTTTTTTTCCGTGCCGAAAATGTTACGCATGTAGAGCAACCAAAGGAAAAAACGGCAAATGTAACACTTTCAAGGCCAACTATGATGGCACAATATATAAGATCAAAGATTTCATTTCATGCCATACAGAGGGAGTAGTTTATGGCCTTGAATGTGCATGTGGTTATCAGTATATAGGAAGAACTAAAAGGCCTATGTGGAAACGCATGAGGGAACATGTACAAAACATAAAAAAAGGGGTTCCCTAAACATAGCGTTTCCCGGCACTTTTTAAAACAGCATAATAAAGACCCTTCAGGACTCAAATTTTGGGGTATACAGAAGTATGTGAGTCATTGGAGGGGGAGTAATAAGATTAAATCCCTTAGTCAGGCAGAGTCGAGATGGATGTATACCATGCATACACAGGCACCGCATGGCCTTAATATTGAGTTTGATCTCAACTGTTTTATTAGCGATTTTTAAATTTGAATTTTAAATGTTAGAAAATTGATCTGGTAACAGCAATTTACATATAAAATATCTCTGGTAATATTAACTTACATATTATATTTTTTAATTCTGTTAATATAACGAATGTATTTTTGTAAACCCAAGCTATTGGTATTTGTGCATGCCACTTTATTTATTTTTATTTTTAATTGTTCTTTTAAATCGGTATTTAATGAGCTCTTTGAGCATTCATTCGAATTAATTTACAATGGTCGTGTAGATATATATTTATATTTTTTTTTTTTTTTTTTTTTTTTTTTTTTTTTATTTTTTACTTTTTTATTTATTTTTTTTTTTTATTTTTATTTTTTTTTTTTATTTTTTTTTTTTTTTTTTTTTATATTTATTTTTTTTTTTTATTTTTTTTTTTTTTTTTTTTTTTTTTTGGAAACGCATGAGGGAACATGTACCCTCATGCGTTTTTTTTTTTTTTTTTTTTTTTTTTTTTTTTTTTTTTTTTTTTTTTTATATATATATCTACTTAATAAGGAAGCCCACTAAGATTAATGGTTTTAATATTTATGATTAATAAAGTTTATGATTTGGTGTTATTGCACCATTAAAGATGTAGATGTGGTTCATATAGGCTTAAATATATAATTTGTTTACTCCTATATGTGTATATCTTGAATATGACATATGGAGATTTATATCTGGTATCCAGCACTAGAATTGTATATGGGATAGATTCATGTATGTGAGTGCAGGACTCTAATAAGATGTCCGCCGTATGCCTGCTCTCACAATGGAATCCAATTTTTTTTTTTTTTTTTTTTTTTTTTTTTTTTTTTTTTTTTTTTTCTCTATAAATACCATTGAGTCACCAGGGGGCGGTAACCCTGATGAAGTCACGACGCACGTGACGCTACGCGTCGGTTTGTCTACTTCCTGGTGACGTATGTCCGGACACAGTGGCCATATTGGATTCCCCCAGGTGCATGCATATCTACCCACAGGCTGGGAAAAACGCTTTTTTATGGAAAGGAGCATGTGAGTGGAATACTTTGTAATTTTTAACTTTGCCTATTAAATTTACTACACTATGGAAGGCTTTCTTGTCTTTTTATGAGTTGCATAAGAGAGGAGGAGGAATAAGGAGTCTGCCAGAGGAATACACCACTGAGGTGGTAACTGCTTTGAGGCCCTGTGTGGGTCGAGGAAGGGAGGTGAGCAGGCATTGCTGCCATTTGAAGGAGAGTACTTGCACTTAGAAGTGGAGATCACGTGTGTGTTCCAGCTTAAAGCACAGTCACATGCATGGAATATTTTTTTTTCACCTTTGATATTGTCTTGTTCACCTATGGCATATATCATTTATGTATAATTTAGACACCATTGTATGTGGCCAATATTCTGTTTTCACGTATATATATATTCTGTTCATTATATTTGATTTATGCACTATATATTTAGTTTCCTAATGTGTGTTATTTAGCTATTTTTTTGGTTGACACTATTTTTTCTTTTCACTAGAGGGAGTCAACACACATTTATTATATATAGTGGTCACTTTGATTTATAATTACACTATATGGAGATACATGATTGTATTCATGTGATACAAGCGCTTCACTAATTTTTAATTTTATTTTGCACTTATTGGTATCAGCTAAGTGACAGCAGCTGTATTTTGTCAATTATTCCCATGTGTCTGTCTGTTTCAGGTCACCCTTGTTGGCTGTCTCCAGGTAGGGATTTTTTATCAGCTGTCACTGGGAAGATCTGTCGGTATCCTTCAGCTCATATTGGCCCTGGACATTTGGAGAGATAACCTGGCAATCAGTTGTGGATCTGACTCACCTTTAAATATTTTTGCTTCTGAGGCTCATTCATTTTCAGTCACCTGAGCTGTCCTGCCCTCACTCCCTTAGTCACAGCTATCCTTTGTTGGGAATATTGTTGGGACAGTGTGAAAAAATACTTTAATGAACTGGTTATGTTTTGTTGTCTTGGAAGCTCAATGTTTGGTATTTATTTAAACATTTTAATTTGGTTTATAGTTATTAATATTATATAAAGTTTTACTGGTTCAATTAATATTTTTTTAACCCCAGTAATGGGCTGCGGCTTAACCCTTTCCAATATTATTGTCTTGTTTATTTAATTATCCTACTTTTTATGTTTTTTTTGTTACTGTTGTTGTCTTGGGTGACGTATGGGGTCTTCAACCTCATGTACTGCCCTGGAAGGGGTCAGGTTTTGAAAGTTACACTGATGGACTCCAGACCTCCAGACAATCAGCTCAATTCATGGTTGAAATACTAACATGTTACTATTCTACCTAGCAAAGGATTTTTTTTATATTTTGCCAGCCATTCTTGAGATATATGCTCACCTCTGCTAGTCAGGATATGACTCTGATAATTTAGTATTACTGCTTCATAAATCAGCTTTAAAGACTTCTGGGTCAGCTCCCTGCTTTCATAGCAGAGATGGTGATTATATTGAGTTTACTTACTAAAGCAGTAGAAAAAGTTCACTTTGCAAAGTGAATGAGGCAAAACTGTGTTCACTTTGAATACCCAATTATCTGCAAAGTAAATTTGCCAAAAAAATTAATTTTTTTGCTTGCAAAAGTGGGATGATTGAATTCAGTATAGCTCCACCATATTCACTAAACTGAGTGAAAATTCCCTTAGCTTAATGCATGAGATGAAGCAACCTCTATGTTGATCTATAATTAGGAAACTGGAGGTGCAGAAGTGACATAGAAAGCTAAACTTCTATTCCAGGAAGATTAATTTAATACGAAAATATAAATGTATTTATTTATTTCAGGTACTTATATAGCGCTATAAATTTTGCTCAGCGCTTTACATATATATATATATATATATATATATTATACATTCACATCAGTCCCTAACCCTCAAGGGGTGTACAATCTAAGGTCCCTAACTCACATTCATACATACACATACTGTGGACAATTTAGACAGGATCCAATTAACCTACCTGCATGTCTTTAGAGTATGGGAGGAAACCGGAGTACCCGGAGGAAACCCATGCCACCTGTTTGCCAATGCAGGGTGAAAAATTTGTGAAAATTACAACACTGGTAAAATAGAATTTAAAGAAAGCAGAAACACCACCTCCTGCGCTCAGGGACCCAGATCAAAATAGGTGGATGGATCAACCTCTATGGGAGTTCATCCACCAATGGATCAAAGGTTGTGCAGCTCTTAAACAAGGCTGGGGGAGCCCAACCAATACTGCAAATGAGAACAAAAGAAAGCGCACCAACTTTGCGCATTACCTCAGTAAAAAATGTAAATTTACAGTGCAAAATTGGAACACTAGAGTAGGAGACACGTGCGTGTCCTACCAAAATGGGAGACATTCAGAGTACAGCTGACACGTTTCATAGGGGATCCCCTCTTCATCAGAGCTCTGATGATATGTGTTTTTATACTGCTACGTTTGTGAGTATACATCCTATTTTAATAAATTTTAATTTTTTGCTGAGGTAATGCACAAGGTTTGTGCTCTTTCTTTTGTTCTCATTTGCAAAACAGAATTTAAATCCGTTGATAAGAAAAGCTGTAAGCATATACAGTAATTATTTCAGTGGTGCATATAGCTGTTTACTATTACTATAATCTAATATAATATAATTTAATATGAATGTTGACATAGCAGCCAACAGCACTACTTGAATCCTGGATTTGTAGTGTAGCAACGATCTATTCAATGTGTTAAGGTTTAGATGCTATCAGGGCTCGAGTTCTCTTTCTCAACCATTGGTAACATCACGGTGACCAAATATCAGTCTAATGGCCACTCGGCGAGCATCAATACAACTTTATCTGAGATTGTCCTAGACCCGTCCCAGCCTGTTACTGGATAGCAAAAGAGAAGCAACATAGTGGAGTTGATGTACTAAAACTGGAGAGTGCAAAATCTGGTGCAGCTGTGCATGATAGTTAATCAGCTTCTAAATTCAGCTTGTTCAATTAAGCTTCAACCAAAAAATCTGGAAGCCAACTGGTTTCTATGCAGAGCTGCATTAGATTTTGCATTCTCCAGTTTTAGTAAATCAACTGCAGTGATGAGTTCAACTCTATGTCACTGTTTTCTCCTACTGTCAGCATGCTTCTTGACAGCAAATTAGCTGATTGTTTTTTGGGCTGCTGCTTCCTCTCACACTCCATCTCTGCTGTACAGAGACTGCTACCTGGTCAAATTTAGGGACTTACACTGCTGGCAGTTAAAAAGTACTTTCAGTGTTATGTTATTAAATTCAGATTGGATCAACATTATTAATGTCATAATGGGCTAGCAGACTAATCGTGTATTACCTACCATGTACATAAAAGGCCAGATGGGAGCAGTGCAGGAGCGGGTTGCCATTTATAAACGGCACCTGCATTCACAGCCTATGCGTACTTCCTGGGAGCGCGCTGAACCGCGATCCGGTGCCTGTTGTGTTCGGAGGACACAGCGGAACATCAATCTCTGTATGGGACCTTTGTGTGAGGTCCCGATCATGTGATCACTGATCACCAATCAATAATCACATGAATAGTAGTAGTAGTAAGCAAGATGTCACTTCTGACATCATTGCTTACTACTTGTGAAATCTGTGAATGATCAAAGAGGTTACATGGTACAAGGCTTTTCACAACAGCCTTGTACCATGTGACAAGCTGTGACCAATTACAGCTCTCACAGTATTTCTCAATAGCTCCAAGAATGCAGCCAGAGAGAAGGAGAAATGATTGATTTTACAGCCTTTATGGGTGTAAAAGCAATCAGTGTAAAACAAAAATTTTCATCACCCCCCACAAGTAGTACAGTGTCACTATGGTGACACTGTATTGCTAGGGGGACAGTATGTTACAAAAAAAACAAATAATATAAAAAAAAAAAAACAATGTTAAAAAAATGTTAAAATAATTATAATTTTTGGTTATAAACTAATTTGTGTTATTTTTTTTTACTAAAAAAATAACTGAATACATTTTGGCCAAGATTTATAAAGAAATTTGCAAAATGTTATAAGAAAAACACTTTTTTCAAACTTTTTGGACATTTTCATTTATATAGCAAAAAAAAATAAAAATCCCAATGGTGAATACATGCCACCAAAATAAAGTTTTATCTGTCTCAAAAAAATGCAAAAAAATGAATATGGGTACAGTGTTGCATGATCGCTCAATTGTCATTCAAAGTGTGATAGAACTGAAAGCTGAAAATTGGTCTGGACAGGAAGGGGGTGAAAGTGACTTGAAGTGGTTAAACAACAGAAGTGGCTGTACACAGACTACATACTCACTTCAAACATATTTGTGTCTCATTCACTATTCCAAATATTGCATTGAATATCTGTCAGCTTCACAAGTCAGCTGGGTATTACAGTCTAATATCTAGGAGATTTATTACCGCTGAACACAAGGGACACTTTGGCACATTTTCATTTAGATTCATTTTAACACAGCATAAAGATGTAGAGTACATACAGCCTGAATTTGAGTACATTATTGAATTCTAAAAGGCCACAGAAAATTTAAACCAGTCTTCAAGTTACCCAAAGAAAGGCTGGATTGTATTGGAAATTAGTCCTTTGATTTCTGACAAGTATCACTACAGTTAGTGGCGAACTGACCATTTGGAAACTCGGGCACTGCCCGAGGGCCCAGGGTCAGTAGGGGGCCCCATGAGATGCCCCCTGGTACCTTTTTCATAGGCTTTTTTGAGTTTGCGCAAGGACACAGGGGCCCCATGAGTTGTCAGTTCGCCCCTGACTACAGTACTTGCAAGCAGTGCTAAAGAACTGCACAACTAAGGTCTAGGATGCTCTGGAAGGAGGACCAAACTTTAAAATGTCTGGCCTAGCTCATATGTGGTTTTAAAGACTCACAATTGTTGGCCAGGTGAAGTCATTTACTAAAGCAAAATTGGAACACTGGAGTAGGAGACACGTGCAAGTCCTACCAAAATGGGAGACATTCAGAGTACAGCTGACACGTTTCATAGGGAGATCCCCTCTTCATCAGAGCTCTGATGATATGTGTTTTATACTGCTACGTTTGTGAGTATACATCCTATTTTATAAAATTTTTATTTTTTGCTGAGGTAATGCACAAGGTTTGTGCTCTTTTGTTCTCATTTGCAAAACAGAATTTAAATCCGTTGATAAGAAAAGCTGTAAGCATATACAGTATTTATTTCAGTGGTGCATATAGCTGTTTTACTATTACTATAATCTAATCTAATAATATTTAATATGAATGTTGACATAGCAGCCAACAGCACTGCTTGAATCCAAAATTTGTAGTGTAGCAACGATCTATTCAGTGTGTTAAGGTTTAGATGCTATCAGGGCTCGAGTTCTCTTTCTCAACCATTGGTAACATCACGGTGACCAAATACTTTTTCTAATAACATAACATGTATTAGCATAAAAAATAACATTGTTTTAGTCACATGTTGGTGCCCTTAGCACCTTACCTTAAGTTTTAAAAGTATCCATAAGTATGACTGGATTATTGTCTGATTCAACCAAATACATCCCTTGACATACCAATCCATTGTCCAATTTGGAGTTTCTTGGCCATTTATTTTTCTTCCTTCAATATAAGACTGATGCAAGATATGTCTACTTACGGCCTAAGTACAAATTTCAGCCAAGTGCGCATGTTTATATCACGATCATGGTAAAAATGGACCATGAGAATCACAGAGCTTCTGGTCACCACCTCATGACAATGGCCAGTTTTATGCTTTGTTAAGAAAGGTAGATAATAGGTCTACTTTTAGATTTTGGGAGTTGTTTGGTCTGGCAAATTGCAAGCAGTATTGAATTCTATAGGTTCTAAATGTCCTAATTCAGTAAGTCAGCAATGGTTCAAAATGAATTAAACGTTCTTTATGGAAATCAGTTGAAATGTGTCAGAATAAACAGAAGCACTAGTGAGCCAATTATGTTTAGCAATTAGAAAAGGTTCCTAGAGTACAAGAAATTGATTTTTCTTGAAATGCTTGGAAGCTTTGTGTTTCCTGCAGTTTGTAAAAGCCGTTCAAAGTGATTAAAAAACAGCTCTGTTATATTTCACAGCATCGAGATTGCCAAAGTCATTTTCCTTCTCTCCTTTAATGAGGTACATTAGTCAAGAGCCAAATGACCTTTAACCCTGGGATCAAGTGCCTAGTCTGCAGCACAAACGTGTGGTGCAAGATTAGAGCTTGACATGAGACATCTGCATAAATTAAATATAATGACATATAGAAGTAACTTAGAGAAGAACTAACTAGGTTGCTTTTTTTATATTCAAAGATATTGTCAAATAACATATACAGTTTATATATATAAAGTACTTAAGTATGTATGCAAATGGAACTTACATTTACTGTATAAACATTATTGTAGCTGCTTGATCCTTATTCTATGGGGGAGTTCTTTTTTTCTCTTTAATGTTTTGGGGTGTTCTTTCACCCTTATATCTGCAGAAAAGTACAGGGTTTTTTGCCAGGAACTGTAGTTTCACTCAATAAACATTCATGGTGACTGCTGTCCCCCTCTGTTCCTTTTTTAGGCCTGCTTACCACCTGCTCTGACACCAAGTGGGTAGCCTTTCACTAAAACTAGGTGTACATGAAATATTATTATTATTATTTATTATACAGGATTTTAATGGAGTTGATTTTCTATTTGTTTTAAAGGGGCCCAGTAGAAGTTCAGTAATAGCCCCATTCAGCAGATCCCTAGCTCATTACTACCCCTGTTTAGCAGATTCCCAGGTCATTGGTAACCTCATTCAGCATATTACCAGCTTATTAATACCCTTGTTCAGCAGATGACCTGCTCAGTAGTACTCCCAGCTCTGCTGATTCCTCACTAAGTTGTAATCCCCAGCTCTGCTGATCCCCCACTCAGTAGCAACCCTCAGATCTGCTGATCCTCTGGTTTGCTCTTCCTCCTCTCTCTCTGGTCCCCGCTCACCTCCTGCTATATTGCTCCCACTTTGTGCAGCATGTGTGACATTGCTAGTTTCTTCTTCTCCCCCCAGCTCTGCTGATCCTCTGCCGTGCAGTCCTCTCTATCCAGTCCCTGCTCACCTTCTGCTATAGTGTTCCCATGTTGCTCACCATGTGTGCCAACTGCTCTGCTCTGATTAGGACTCCGCTCTTCTTTCTGCTGCTTCACACTGCACACCGGATGTGATGTCTGCACCAGACACTCCCAGAATATATACACATGAACCAGAAGTGACTGCCGGTGGCATCTTTCCGAGAGCCAGCTGTTGTCGTGCAATATGAAAAAACACTCTACAATCTCATGGAACGCCTTCCCAAAAGAATGGAGGCTATTAAATCCCCAAAGCGGGGGTGGGGAGGCTTAAGTAGCAACATACCTATGATTTGGAATGGGATGTCTAAAAAGCTGATCTAGGTATTATGGTCAGGTGTCCACAAACCTTTAACTATGCAGTAAATGAGCTAGAAACACAGTATATGTTACATTACTTCTGAAACCATAACCTGTTATCCAGTGAAAAGGAAGACAGGATACGCAGACAGAATAGCCTTTCATATAATATATATATACATATTACATTTATTTTCAGTATATTGTTTTCCTTCAGTAGTACACATATTTTGCATTTGAAAGTCTATTGTAGTTCTATTAGCTTTAAATCTGGGTGGAAAGTTTAACTATTTGGTTTTCAGTGCTTCCTCGGAAATCTCATACTTGCAATACCTCCAAGACAAAGAGAAGCTAAAGCTGAATAAAAGCCTCTCAAAAGCTACAGGTGCTGCAACTGAGCTTTGTCATAGACTTCTTTGGAGGCTTTGGAGATGCTTTGAAGCACCATGAAAGCAACACGGGGGTGTAATTTTGTAAGCAAAGCACAGCAAAAGCAACATGTGCACAGGATTGTAAGCTAACCATTTATTTGGTGAAGGGGCTTTGATTGGCATTCAGAGCACTTTAAAAAGCGTGTCCAAAGCCACATTTTGAAGAACATGTAAACTAGCCCTAAGAGACATTTTGTTGGCTAATAGGCAAGGGGTTGTCAAACAAATAACATGGGAGGCTGGGCTCTGCCCTGGGAAACATGTACTAAAGCAGAACAAAAATAAAAATATTGTTTGGCAGGAAGCAAATATTTTGAAATTGATTTAAGGGCAACATAAAAAAATTCATTTAAATAACATGCCTGGGGATCCCTTTAACCTGTCTGTGAAGTGACACATCTGTATCATGTATACAACCTACTGCAGCAAAAGTCACATTTAAAAGAAAAGTGAAATGCATTTTTTTTGCAGGTAAATGGCATCTCCCAGCAGCCTAATTTTGTTTGTAAACAAAGCAAGATACAATTGTTTGCTTCTATACCAGACCCTCATCCTAGATGAGGGGCTGGTATATATGTTAATTGAGGATCCCACAAAAAAGATGCTGGGGTTTCCCCTAAAATACATACTAGACTCTTATTCTTGATGAGAGTATGGTATGGTTGTCAAGGGGGACCTCGAACAAAACAAAACAAAAAATAAAAAGCATGCCTCCCCCCAATTTCATACCAGAACCTTTGAGTCCTAAAAATCCATTCCAGACCCCTTAAAAAAGAAGAGAATACATATATGGCCCCCTAATTAACCAAACTAAGTCACACAAGCTCAACATACTGTACCTCCTCCCCAGAACGCTATCCTGATGGTTATAGGG